CAATAATATCTCCTTTTAATATCAGCTCTATAGGTTGTAAACTGAGGTGTTTAGTCATTGCCAACAAACGCGATATGGGGTCCTTGTTCTCATTAGAGGCAATATGTTGATCATGATCATCATCCTACATTAAAACTTTTAAGTTGAGGCCTTTTGGAAACAATTATATGACATTATAGTTGAATGTATTTATTTATATATACAATAAGAGAGTACCACTAACATGGGGATTAACCAATCTTCGTGGTCATTGAATGAATTGACAAGGGGCGTGCCCAACAAACTGAACCTCCTCGTTGGGAATCGAAACCAACGCATCTGCATCTAAAACCTTTACCACCTCCACCCTAACAATATTTGCATCCACCATTTGATGGTGTATTGTAGGACCCAAATTGTGTAACTAATTAAAATTTCAAATGCATCACAAAGGAATTGTGATTAATTCAAAACAATAGGAAATTACTTGCCCCTTTTCTTTTTGAGAAAATATAAAAACCGAATGAGTGAATTACATCATAGTCTCAAATACAGGGTGAAATAAGAAAAGATAGAGTCCAACCACGTGAAGCCACACATAGCAACAACTGCAGTTAATTCTCCAGCAGAGTTTCAGGCATTGTCAAAGGAGGTAAATTATCTGCATTGTGCGAGTCTCACTTCTAAACTCTGTTGACTGTTGTCTAGTATACTGGACAGTGGACACTCTCTGATGACAATATACATTTTTAATTTCCTTGAATTTCTTTATCTGAGCCGTCAGTCTCCATTCAACCAAGTATCTTAATTTCAGTTTGAATGATAACATTCTGGTAAAGCCGCATTCAGTAATCTTATTAAGTAGCATGCACATTGTTCGGAAAAAAATGTAGCATGGATCACAAATGCACCATTTTTTCACGGACCCCTTCTTTACGGAACTATCTTTTCTTATTTCACCCTGCATCCATCTTTTTTTTTTAAAAACACCCTACATCCTAGATTGTTGAAACTGATATATTATTCTCAGAGATATGTTTAGTTGATGTTAGAAAGGTACATAAAGTTCACCAATACATAAAGCTCACTAGTTGTTGTATCACTATGCTCTTTAGTTGTACCTTTTAGCTTCGCAACCCGTTAGATTAGTTAGAAAGCTAATATACTTTTCCCAGAGATTTTTGAACTTATACTGTGTAATTTTTACAAAAAACGTCACATAGGACATGCTCTCTTATCAACTCAACATCTAGTCGTCTCCCATTCAGGCAATTAACACAAGGACAATGAAACCTTCCATAATTATCAGGAAGATTTGTTTTAGCAAACTGAATAAAAGATTCCACACCATTTTCATACTCATCACTTGTTCGTCTACAGTTGATCCAACTACGGATCCATAATCACCTTAATGTCTGTATCATATGTGACCAAACATGTAAGTATAGGATATTTCCTAAAATTCTGCAAAGAGTAATTTACATCATGACATTCTCTAGAATAATATGCAAAAATCGTTGGAAAGTATTTAACTATATTTAAAGTTATAGATAAATAGTGTAAGCATCACAAACCGAATTATTTTCAATTAGCATATATCATTGAGGAATTTTTTCAAACACGTGATAAGCATTACACACCTGATTTTTTTTATAAGCATGACTGTCTGACCGTACATTTCAAATGTTTAAACATACATATAATACTATTAAATCATCCAATAAGAAATAAGAAAAAATCAATGTTCTAAAATTCGCTAGGCCCTAGTCGGGCGGTCAAGCACCGCCTAGCGCCTAGGCGACCTAGGCGCCGATTAGTCGCCGACTAGACAGCCAACTCGGTTTCAACATAATATCAAAAAATAAAATATTCTTGGCAAAAATACTACATTAAACAAATAAAGTTTAAAGTTTAAACATAATAAACATGTTATATACTACCTAGTTTAATAATTAATAAGTTAGGGCAGGTAGGTTTACAACAATTAAAAGTTTAAAACAATCGGTACATCAGTACATCTATAATCACTAGCTCAACATAAGTTCATTGAAGTAATCTATAATTTATAAGAGATAAAAACATTTAACTATTTAAAGATTAATGGTAAAAAGAGAATATAGTAATTAAAGTTTGAGATGGATTTAGTTCACAAAAAACTTAAAAGTTACTCAAGCATAAACCAACAATGCAAAGGGTAAACTAGCTAGGACACTTTTTGTTTGAGATAAAGAGAGTTGAGACATTAAAATGCTTTTTAAATAGAATAATAGAGGCACAATTTAAACAAAACTAAAGTGCAAGTGTTAGTGGCTTACTCCTCCACTATATGAGTGTCATATATTCTATGAGAGTAGCAGCGACATCGTCGAAGCCGTCGAGAGCAGTAGGGCAGCGTCGCCTTGGTCTCCTTCGTTGAGAGCAGCAGTGTCGTCGCCTTCTTCTTCAGCAGCTTCATCGCCTTCTTCTTCAGCAGCTTCATCGCCTTCTTCAGCACCAGCGTCTTCTTGGCCCAATTTGTCGCGAGGGAGAAGCAAGAGTTCAATTTTGGGGTTAATTCGGCGGTAGGGCTAGCTGCGGTTAATTTTAGTACAACTTTTGATAAGGGTTACACGAGGACTGACATTGAAAGTACTTAAAGCAAAAATTTAAGCATCAAACCGAGAAGCAGTATCTACCAAAACTAATAAGCAAAAATAACAGAAACAAGCTGAGAATTAACATGAAGTTTTAATAAGCAGAAAATTAACATGAAGTATTTAATAAGCAGAAAATTAACAAGCTGGGAAAAAAACAAACACAAAAATCATGAAGTTAATGAAGTTATCGTTACATAACCACAGGAAAACATCAAGTATTAATAAGTAGTAAATTAACATTAATATGTAGTAGTAAATTTAGTACAAACAAGAACGAATCATCAAAGAAAGAAGCAATATAGCAGAACTGTCCAAGAGGTTTCACCGACGCTGAAGGCTGAAGAAGCGACCAAACGGAAAGCAGACTGAAGAACTGTGTGGGTTTTTTTCAGTAAAATGGAAAATGGACTTTCTCCATGGGATTTTTGGGTTGTTATTCAGTAAGACCAAACGGAAAGCAGGCTGAAATTTCAGCCTTAGATGTGAATGAGTATTTAGCTTCAACACATACATTTCTTCAAATTTCAGCCTCTCCAAAAACCAAAATAGTGACAAATTTCTAAGGCTAACCTGGAGTGGAGGGCTTACCTGGGAGCGGAGTAGTGGAATCGTTGATTTGTTGATGGGAAGAAGAAAACCAGTCAAGAACCGCAGTCCAAAATCGCAGTTTTACAGTTCGCCCCTCGCCCCTCCCCTTCGCTTCACGCCTACAGCCGCAACGTCGTCTTCAGCAGCAACGTCGTCTTCAGCCGAATCGTCTTCAGCCTCGTCGCCTTCAGCCGCGTCGTCTTCTTCGTCGATCGGGAGCTTCTTCGTCGTTCGGGAGCAGCGGCCTGTTGCGTTAATTTGGGAGCAGCGATTGTGGGAGGGTTCTTTTTGGGAGGGTTAATTTGGGGCTGAGTGGATTGGTTATTTGGGAGGGTTAATTTTAGTAGTTTTGATAAGGGTTACACCACAACTGACATTGAAAAGTACTTTTTAAAATTATAAAATATACCCCGTTTCGAAATTAAAGTTTCCGGAAATCACAAAAATGGCCCGTTATCGTGTTTGATGTCGGTTCTTTAAATGTCCCATATGAATAATGTTTTTTTTATTTATGAAAGATACCCCGCTCAACTTAATCAAACTTTCATTATTTATAAATATGACCCCGTGCCTACGTATTATAACGGTTCTAATTGAACCTATATTAAAACCTAGTTATAGAATACATATTTTGTACTGGTGTTCATATTAATATTTTGAACATTACTTAAAGGATCAACTAATTTTGTTTCATATAAGTTAGAGAGTATGTAGTTTACGGGTCCAAACTCATATATTCTACGGAGTATAATATTTTGTGGGTCGTAGGCCTACTAAAATATATTATTATGTTACGATATGTAATATTTCTATCACAATAAAGTTATTTCCCTCGGATTAACATAGAAAATAGTGGGTTGAATCTATATAGAATATTGGGTCCATAGGTTTTGATTTATTTATTTTTTTATTAATTCCATTGCTAATTTTTCCTCACAAAAAATATTATTTTAATAAAATTAAATAATATTTTAAACTGTTAAAATGAGTCGTAAAGTCCAACATCGCCCAAAAATAGGATGCAAAATAAAAGAAGGTTAAAAACTACCAATCACAGTTATTCACTTGGTGGAGGTACGGGAGAAAATGTTTGTGTTTCCACCAATTTTGTGGAAAGACTTATTCTAGTATTATTTCTTTTTTAGCACTACCTTTTTTTATTTTGGTTTGAGCAAGTTTGAATGTTTGATTTTGATATTTGGGGTTTTAAAGTACTTTTGATAGACATTGTTTCAGTTACGACCGTTTTAGACTAAAATTACCCGTTTTGTGTCTGATGAGTAATATGTCTAAAAGTTGTTTTGTAACTTTTACTTAATGCATTGTAAATGAAGTTGGAATCAGAAATATTTGTGAATTTATGGTTAATTTGTAACTTTTTATTTAATGCATTGTAAATGAAGTTGGAACAATACCTTTAGAATTCAAAATTTTCATTCTAACGAGATGTTATACGCTCTAATTGTATAAGATGGCCGATTCTATGTCTATTCCGAATGCTTACGATTGAATCTATAGAAATTGCTCTAAATATGAGCAAAAACGTTTTGAAATTCTAAAATAGGAGTATCATATTTTTTATTCCCTGAATATGAGTAATCTGTCAAGTTTGGAAAACAATGTCATGTTTAAAGCCTAGTAATCCCAAACTTGGCCGAAATTTACTCAGGAAATAAAAAACATGATAGTCCTATTTAGAGAATTCTCTTTTGAATCTAGTATTATAATTGTTTGGAAATTGTCATTTATGCTTTGTTGATATTAATATAAAAGTGTTCTTTTTTTATTTTAAAAAAGAAGCAATCTTGAATGAATTTGGGCCGGTTAAAACTTAAGATGCAATTCAATTCCATATCTGGACTGAAACCTCGTCTGTATCCAGGTATGCTCTATCCTCAGCTGCTGCAACTTCCTTCTTTATCAATATTCTCAAAATCAATGCGTAAATGAAGTGTTGTTTGAACTGTGTTGACGCGAAACAGAATTTTCAGATCACGAAGATTCAGTTTTACGGTAAAAAATTCTCAATCTGAAAACGAACGTAACAGATTATCTGTTAGACTTAAATGTTTGACTGAAGCAGTTCGCGGAACACCACTCTAGTGATACTCCGTATTATTTTCAGCTTTTGCATTTGTTTTCTTTTTCTCAATATTTTTCGCGAGGTTTGAGTTCTGGTAAGAATATACTTCCGTACTATTGCGTGCTTTGTACAATTGGTTCATCACTTTTATATATGTTTTCGATAGTTGTATTTCATTTTTTTTAATTATTAGTAGTATCTATAACATTAAAATATCTGTTTAAGCCTCCAATCTGCTTGAGTAAACCTACAAGTCGCTGCAGGGCCTCACCCCCCTGAAATACTTGATTGAAAATTTTGATTGTATTTAGGCCATGTTTGATTCGAATACGATTTTTGGTATGTCATTTTATTTTAAACCGTAATGTTATGATCATTGGATATGTGTAACTCATTACTTTACTATGTGTAATAAGCTTTACATTAAAAAGAGGTGTATTTGAGATTACAGCTTATACTAGGTGTTTGAGATTACAAAAACCCTGCTTCCTATTATTTCGCCCCATGGCCCCCATCCATAAGAAAAGGTGCAAAAGTTTTGCAATGGCCGTAAATTCCATCGGCTTCCTCCAGCTCCACCGAAACCTAATCATCTAATCTGCAAATTGCTGGGCTTCAACATATCCTTTGTATAGCATACAAGAGGTAAACCCCAACTTTTCTCTTCTAAAGTAATTCGAATTATTTGAGTTTCTTCTTTGCTTCTGGATTAGTTCACACACACACACATACCCCTATATATAGGGAAGAGTTCAAATAAAAAGACCTCTTCCCGTGCAAATTGCAAAGATATGCACTTTTTCATGTTTCGCTTGCACTTTTTCGTGTTTCTGTTGCCACCGCGATTTTGGTTGAATTTAGTGCATTTTTGGCTCATTTTGAGCCATTAGATGTGGAAATGAATGCACAAGATTCATTCTCACTTTGCATGGAAGAGCTCTTTGTATTTGAACCATCCCCTAATATATATATATATATATATATATTCCTCAATCTGCTCGATACCAATTGGTTGCAAGCGCTGGTATCCACTGATCCCTTCTCTTTACTTCATCAGCCACTCCATTAGCCTGAGGAATGGCTTAACTCCGTTTGTTCTCTTCCATAAAGTTATTCTCTTCCGACCCCTCCATATTGCTCCAGGTCTACAGAAAGGTAAAAATCAAAATAAGTTATCTGCCTTGCTCCCCTCGACTCATCCACAGTGTGTTAGGCTGGTGGGCTCCTTCGCCCACCAGATTTGTAGTGAATTGAAAATGTCTGTTGCAAATAAACTTCAATGTTTCTTTTTTTGTCAAACTGATTGTCACTTGGATGGAAGTTTATTGTAGTCTTTTTATTAAGTAAAAAATTGTTATCAAAACTAGTTGATATGGCTTTGGCGTTGAGAGCCAATTCAAAGCGTGTCTGCTCTATTTTCAATTCAAAAGATTCAAATGATTAGAACTTTTCAGTTAAATATATTTTTTCCAGCTTCTGGGGCTATGATTTGAGCCATTTTTTGGGACATTTTTTGGATTTTTTTCCAATTAACTAAAATTGTCGTAGCTTTTCTCTATCTCTATTTCAACTGGAGTTTGGCTTGCTTGAATGTTTTGTGTTTCTAGGTTGACCAGTGTAAATGTATCTTCCTAGGACGGTGGGATTGAGTAGTTCTGTTGTAATGTGTGTTTGTTTGGTTGTTTCATGCTTTGGATTTGGATTCTTTGAACTGAAGTTTTAGTGGTGACAGTAGTGATGTTTTGCTAGTTGCTACATAATTTATCAAGTGGGATATATAGATGTGTGATAGAGACCTGGACTTATGGGCTTAATATTTTAATAAAATGTAATAGTGGGCTGGACCAAGTAATTAGATAGATCGAGGGAAGCTTCATTTGAAAAAGAATAAATAGAAGGAATAGAGGAGGGAGAGGGTAGGCTGGAATTCAGTTGGAATTAGGCTGGGAGGCCTCTCGAATAGTCTCAAATCTGTTTCTTCTCTTTCTTTGTGTTTTCCGCTATTGTATTTTGGTTCACTGTTGCTGTGAGGATCGGTTCCTATCATTGGTATCGCTGGAGTAGATGACTGTTACGTGGGTGGAGATGGAGAATAGCACCGGAAGAGTAGATGACTGTTACGTGGGCGCAGATGGAGAATAGCACCAGAAGTGTTGAAGGCCATGTTAGGAAGATGGAAAGGATGCTGGACGAGATGATAAATCATCGGCGTAAACAGCTTCGCAGGAGAACTAGAGGCCGAGTGAGGAGCCCTCCTAGATGCCGTTGGCCAACTGAAAATCAGGTTTATCGTCCGTCACTCCTCCTAGTTCGCAGTCGCGAACTATGTCTTCCAGTTCGCAGGTCTCAGTTCGCAGGGCTCAACGCGCGACTTATCCCAGTTCGCAGTCGCTAGCTGATTCTACCGAATCGCAGATGGCATCGCAAGCCGCATCAGCTTTGTCGCGAACAGATCTCCTTAGTTCGCAGGTGTCATCACTATCTACTTCGCTGAGTTTGCAGCGGTCGCAAATAGCTACTATCGGTTCACAGGATTCCCCATCAGCTATCAGTTCGCCTAAAATTACGACGCGATCAAGTGGAGAATCCTTCAGCTCACAGACGACATTCAACCAAAGTGAGTTGTTCATGAACTTCGGATATGTCCGAGCCGGAGAAAAACAGAGCTATGTCTACGCAATCGCAAGGACGCTTATAGGGGATCGTCTGAGTCAATGCCTCAGTCTGCTGGTGTTTATGATGGCTTTAGCAAAACTGGAGAAAATACAGAGTGTGTGGTGGCTGATGTTCCGCAGGATCCTACACGAGCTATTGGCTCTCTGAAAGGGAGAGGAAAGTACATAGATGAAGACAAGAGGGGATGGAAAGAGAAACAAACTGGGGTGGAGAGACTCAACTGGATAATTAACGCTGGTGAGGAGTTTTATGCCACTCCAAGTTCTTATTTTACATTATATGGTCTCTCTGTCCAATCATCATTCCTGGGAGGTGTCCTGGAAAAAGTTGGGATTGAGCCACAAGTTGAGAGGATTGGTTCATACAAGTGTGATGGTGATTAGTTAATACCCAAAAGCATACCAGAAAAAATGTGAGATGCTAACTGTATTGCTTGATAACGTCTATGAAAATTGGCTTGATAAAGTCTCTTTCACAAAAGAAAAAAAATTAGAGGATGTTGAAAATGGTATTAATGAAGGAGTCTACCAAGTTCAGAGGCTAAAAGAAGATGGCTGGATAACGGGTATAAAGTTTGACGAGGAGGTTTTGCCTAAGTTGAAAGAGCGGTTGGGAAATCCAATGGATAAGAATCTTCCTACGGTGGATCATAGGAAATACGCAGGGGTCAAGAGACGGACTCTGGGCATTGCAGGCTATCAAGATCAGATTGCTCTAATGCGGGCATCTGGAAGACTTAGTCCCGGCTGTTCCCCTTTTAGTGTGCTCAGTTCATGCATTATAGCAGAGCAGATCAGTGAAAATTCTTGTTGTGCTAGAAAATCAAAGTGGTGCAAGACTGAAGTGGAATACTTGTTCGATGTCGTACTCGTAACGTTTTTTCCAAGTACGATGTCGTTAAGAACGACTTGGAAGCCAAACAGATGGATCATCGGGGTTCTGGAGAAGAGTATATAAACAATTACATGATGACGGCAGAGAATAGAAAAGCACAAGTGGTGGGGAAACTGTATGAGAATTCTCTGACTGAACCTCAGGTCCTTGATGCAGACAGGTATGTACGAATGACACCAGAAATTACCATAATTGGGCTATCAAATTGGGCTCAGGATTATTTCACTATATACAAACTGGGTCCACCCTTACCCCACCGTAGCTGGGAGTCTTTGCGACATTGGGGTAATGATGATGATACAAGTTGGGTCCAATAGAGGAGCTAGTGGTATTGATGGTTTCAGATTATATGGTGTTACTTCTATGATGTGCACTCACCTTGGGTTGGTGTTAATATTTACTGCGGATTATAATGACTGTTTTGGACATGCTACTAAAGTGGACGTGGTTGTGTATCGGATGCTTGTCAACAACCTCATTCACGATTATCCAGTAACTAACTCCAAACTGGGTGTGATTTCTAGTAAAACACTTGAAACTGTAGGAGCTACAATCCTTTATGATGACCAACTTCCTTATCAGTTCAAAAGTGCAGACGGGCTTATGCAAGTGAGATGTGGGAAAGGTGTACATTATGGGGTTTATATGTTCGAAGCACACTTGGCTTTCATATTATGGAACTATTGCGACGATGCTCCTGGTGAAGAGACTTCAAACTTCCAGAGGTGCAGCTACTGGTTGCTTGAAGAGGAGCAGTCAAACATTGTTCTAGTTCACGACAGGGAAGAAAAGGGTAGCAGGAGGAACTACAGTCGTGCTCGAGAACCTCCATTAGATATTCCCGCTTTTCCAGATGGTAAAAGAGATGTGAACAGCTCTGATGTGGGCATTACACTTGGTAATCTTATTTCCCAACAATATGATTACAAAACAAAATCACATGCTACAAATACGGCTAGCCTTAAGAGCGCTCAAGCCTCAGATTATGAAGAAGCTAAAACAGCAGTGCACAATCAACTATCAACTTCTGGGATGCACTCTTTTACTGAGTTTCTAGCAATTATGAACCCCAAGGGTGAAGATGAACTTTCTGCTCCTTATTATCCATGCTACATCTCAAATGCTCATCAAGGCCATTTTCCAGCTTTTCCTGAAAAGAGTACTGCAACTTATGGATATGTACCATTTCAAAATTCACTTTCCACACCTCAGTCTCTTGCAATAAGCAAGATGAATGGGCAAGTGAGTGCTATGATTGGTTTCACAAAGGCCCTAGAAGAATGGGGAGCACCTAAGGGTGAATCAGTCAAACTATCAAAGTGGTTTGTGGATCCGAAGGCTGAACAGAACCCAGGTAATGATCTGGATGTATCAAAAGGTGAGGATTGGGAGCTGAAAGTGGTTTCCGGGATTGGTGGCAGAATAATATCCTTGGAGCATCTTCCTACTGGAACTCAGTGGCTTTACAGCCGACGAGTAGATACGGCGATGCAGCATATAGTGGATTTGGGTACAGATCTGCTGGATGCATGAAAGAGTATTATGTCATTGAAAAGAATCAAGAGCATGCAGGAGGAGTCAAATCTTTTGCATTACAAGGAAATAAGAAAATTTTGGTTCAATGGAAACAACTATCAGTTTTGGAAGATTTTTGGGAAAGTTTAAGCAAATGCCATGAGGAATGGATGACAAAGGTTCAAGTACCGAAGCTAAAGGCACTGAGATCGGTGAGGTACTGTGAAGGGAGGGGCACGAGGATGAAGCTGGATGGCATGGCTGCTCTTACTCCCCACCTTGAGGACAAGGTGGTTGACAACGGGGGAAGCTTCATTTGGAAAAGAATAAATAGAAGGAATAGAGGAGGGTGAGGGTAGGCTGGAATTCAGTTGGAATTAGGCTGGGAGAGTGAGGCCTCTCGAAGAGTCAAATCTGTTTTCTCTTTCTTTGTGTTTTCCGCTATTGTATTTTGGTTCACTGTTGCTGTGAGGATCAGTTCCCATCAATGTGATGACAGAAATTGTCACTTTATTTCACCCCAACCCCTGCTCCCCCTCCCCCGGTTCTTCATCTTCTTCCTGGGTTTGGATTGAATGCAAAACAGGTCATGTCACCAGGCTGCAAGTCCACAGCTGCTTTCCTTCCAGAAATCTTTCACCCCCACCTCCTATCTGTTTTCTTCCATTCACTGCTTCACCCACACCAGAACAAGTATCCTCCTTTCAGTTGAAGGGCAGAATAGTAGTTTCTGTTTTTCTCCATTGCAGCAGGTCGGTCTCAGATCAAACCCTGCACTCATTGGTTTAATCCCACCTCAGCTCTCATCACTGAAATCACACTCTCAAAACAGTTTGTAATTCTGTTTTTATGCAGACCTCGAACACTTTTTAAAAGCCACCCTACCTAAGAATGCTCTATAATTAAACAAGTTGTTTTTGGCAGTCTTTAAGATGCCATGTACATTCAATAACAGACTTCAATTTTAAATTTTAATTATTCAATCATCTGGTGATTAGGTACATGCATCTTATGACCTATAAAAACTTCTTTTTACATAAAAGTTGGACATGATATATAAATTATAATGATTACTTAGATTATCAATGAAGTTGTTTAATTTTAGATTTATACCTTGCATATATTAATATACTCGGCACTTGAAACAAATTAATGGAGAAATTTAAATTTGGTTAATATTATTTTATTTTTCAATATAAAATTTGTAGTTATGTCGCTTGTTAGATAAATTGATTGAACTGATTTTTGTTTGCTACAGATTGGTCCATTTATAATCTGTGATGGGTTTGAAGGAACTTTGAAGCTACTATTATACTTCTTGGAGTAATCTTTCGGACAGGCCTTCCTGACCAGAACTGCCTTCCGGACGGCGGCATTTGAGGCCCTTCCTGGTAGAATTTTTTGATGAAATTTTTATGGAATGTTCTTCATCAAGTCTAGTTTATCCACATAACATTTAAGCTAAAAATTTAATCGGGAAGACCGTCAAATGATTTTTTGGAAGATAACTGCGCCCAAAATATACATATAAAACGCAGTTAATTTCCAAAAATTATTTGACGACCTTCCCAATTGAGTTTTTAGTTGAATATATTTGTGGATAAACCATAGTAGTCAATGGCGCAAATGGCGATTGCCAAGTCTTGCCTTTGGCAATTTAGGGGGTCATTGCCATTATTTTTGGCTATGGCGCACAGGTTGCGTTGCCAAATGTGCGCTATCGCCTCGCTGTCGCCATTTTGCACCAAATAATGGCGCTATCGCACGCGTCTGGGTCGCGACTTTGGTTCGATGGTCGTAGTCGCTCAGTCGCTGTAGGTTGTCTCCGTCGTAGTCGTTGTAGCTGATCACGTTGCCATCGATTGTTGCTGAAATAGGTCGCAGACTCTAATCGCCGCACGCAGACTGCTTGCTTCGCGGTTTTAGTTCTACGCTATTTTAGATTGAAGTCTGGCAAAAGCCTTTCTCTGAAACCCATTCTTTATTTTGGTAAAGTTAAATGCCTTCTCTATTTCTTTGTTTCACTTCCTCTCATTTTCTGTGGGCCAGTTGGCTGGACAGTTGGACCATGTAAGTAAGTTAATTTGATTTGGATTATTTTTGGTGCTATTTTTTGGTTATTTAAAAATTTAAGTCTTTAATTGGTGGTTAAGTCAAACTCATATATTGTGTATATGTTATGCTTGATTTTTTTTATGTTGTGTTTTACTGGTGTGTCATTTTTGCGCCATCGCCATCGCCACGCGAAATCACCCCTGCGCCATGCCGGTCGCCGTGCGCCGTGACTACTATGGGATAAACTAGACTTGATGAAGAAAATGCCATAAAAATTTCATCAAAAAAGTCGACCTGGAAGAGGCTGAAATGCCACCGTCCGGACGGCGGTTCCTGTCCGGAATTCCGGACAAGAATATTTCTCTCTCCATATATATACTCCCTTCGATTCCTAAACAAGTTCCACATTTGACTTCACACATATTAAGAAAATAAAATTGACTTTACTGTGGAGTGCACTGTTTGGCACTGTTTGAACACTGTTTGGCACTGTTTGATACTGTTTGACACTGTTTTGATGTAGATAATAAGGAAATGTTTGAAAGTGGAACTTAATTTTGAATCTTCCCGAAAAGGAAAGGCGGAACTTGTTTCAGAAACGGAGGGAGTATATTTAAGATTTATAGAGATCTTTATTTTCCTTGCGTTATGTATCCGGATCTTATATATGGATTCAACAATTCGGGCATGAATGATGTTTAATAACAAACAATTGATTACATAGTGTTATTCTACATGTAGATAAACAAACATAATTATATAATGTTGATTACATTTCAAAGTTGTTATTACTTCAGTAATCAAACATAGTAATGGAACAAAGACTCCATTCCATTACATTTTGTATTGCATTATGCACTTCATTCTGTTCCATTGCATTACATCATACCAAACATAGCGTAATGTAATGGAATGGAAAGAAGTGCGTAATGCATTACAAAATGTAATGTAGTGGAATGAAGTCTCTATTCCATTACTATGTTTGGTTACCTAAGTAATACTCCCTCCGTCCCCCTAGTTTTGTCCCGTTTTACCTTTTTCGTCCGTTCCATTAAGTTTGTCCCATACCATATTTGGTAATATTTGAGTGGTTAGAATTCATTCTTACTTTATTCACACTTTATCAATTCAATACCAACCACACAAATCTACTTTTTCTTAAAAACCACACCACACCCCTTTGTTCCAAACTTAAGGGGACGGAGGTACTAACAAATTTGAAATGTAATCAACATCACATACTTATGTTTGTTTATCTAGATGTAGAATTAGACGGTGTAATCAATATTTGCAATTTAAAGTTATCATCGCTAATACATTAAAATGATTGTCTATCTAACATCATTCATTCGTGAATTGTTGAATTCATATATAAGATCCGAATACATAACGTTAGAAAATAAAGATGCCTATAAATCTCAAATATACACTCTCTCCGTCCCATTTAAAGGTTCCCGTCCACTATTTTCCGATCAACGTGCATTGTTCTTAATCTTTTACTTTATATATCCAACTTTTATCAAATTTAATTTTTCTTGATCAGGTATTATAAAACTTTTGAATGCGATTTTCACTATGGGTCATCCGGAAACAGTCTCTCTGTGCTTTAGTACAGGGGTAAGACTGCGTACATCCGACCCCCCCTTACCCCACCGTAGGTGGGAGCCTTTGCGGCACTGGGGTAATGATGATGATGATGAGGTATTATAAAACTTTTAGTGTAGTTTCTGAATATGTAAATTTTATTTACTAAAAATAATCCTATTAATGACAGGGATCAGTTAACTTTATGGTCAATCAAACATCGTAAACCTCGCGTGGGAACCTTTAAGTTGGACGGAGGGAATATATAACTACTTGATTTTTAAGCAGTCTCCTCCGAGAAGTATAATAGTAGCTTCAAAAGTCTTTCAAGCCCATCATAGATTGTAAATGGACAAATCTGTAACAAACAAAAAACAATTCAATCAGTGTATCTAGCAAGCGACATAATACTGCAAATCTTATATTGAAAAATAAAATAATATTTACCAAATTTAAATCTCTCCATTAATTAGGGCCTTCACCCAGACTCATAACTTATACTCCCTCCGTCCCCCTAACTTTGTCCCGATTTACCTTTTTCGTCCGTCCCATTAAGTTTGTCTCATACCATATTTGGTAATATTTGGGTGGTTACAATTCATTCTTACTTTAATCACACTTTATCAGTTCAATACCAATCACATAATTCTACTTTTTCTTAAAAACCACATCACACCCCCTTTGTCCCAAACTTAGGGGGACAGAGGTAGTATATTATGTCCAACTTTTTAGGTCAAATAGAGTTTTTGTAGGTAATATAAGATGCAAGTACCTTATCACAAGAAGATTGAATAATAAAAATTAAAGTGTTATTAAATGTACATGGTATCTCAAACACTGCCAAAAAATAAGTTGTTTAATTATAGAGCATTCTTAGGTAGTGAGGCTTTTTAAGAAATGTTTATGGTGAAACCAATGCAACAGTTCTGGTATAAAATGTATTTATTTGAATACTCGCTTTCAGATGTTATATAAGTACACACACATATTTTTCAATTTACACATTACATACTACAGCTACATTAATCCAAGTTGAGGTGTGCATAAAAATAGACTTACAAACTGGAAGTAAAGAAGGATAAGAAAGCTAGAAATCAAGGATGGAAATGATAGGTCCAATCAGCATGTTGTAGCTGAAATCAAGGTGCAGGAGAGAGGTCAAAGTAAAGATTTCTGAAGAATTTGTCCAGTCAGACAGTTTTGAGAGAGTGAGAATCTGAAGTTTATTAGTAGTATAAGACTACAATACATTTCCATCCAAGTGACAATTAATTTGTCAAAAAACCACAAAAAAGCAACATTGAAGTTTATTCACAACAAACATTTTCAGTTCACTATAAAACGAACAATAGTACATGAAACATGACTAATATATAAAAAACTGCAACACTGTTATATGATCTCAGTCTCAGAGGTGAATAGGTGATTGTGATGAGACATATGAATGGTCATTGACTTTTATCTGTCTTCTTGCCTTGTTCCTATACAGTAAGATGTTTATTGGGATATAAAACAAACTAATGATATTATAATACAGAATAAAGAAAACAAATTTATTTACTAATTTATGATGTGCGTAAACAATTAAGGATTGAACAAGAGAAAAAATGTTTATATTTATTACAAACAGAATAACAAAACTAACTTTATTATATTTAATAACATCAATAAATAATATTAAAACACCTAACAGATATAATAATAACTTATACCATGCTTTAGAAGGAAACAAAAAACAGAGTGAGCAGGGATGGAGGTCAAGTGGGAGTCGCAGGGAAGAATGGAATTGCAGAGAAGAAAGTAGTAACAAAGCAGGGGGTTTGATAGTTGATGTTTGGATTCAAAGGAGATTTAGCCCTAACTTTGAAGCAACACACCTTCGCCGCTAAGACTAGCTGATTCTATAGGCTTCTACGATTGTCTGAGTTTACTAGACGATTCAACCGATTCTCAAGGTGAAGGGGATCACAGTCTTATGCCCAGATCGTTGAATCATATATTGCCACAGAGTACCACAAGTAAAGGGTGGCCGAAACGGGCCGGCTCAAGCTCTTCAAGTCAAATATCAAATCCAGAAGCAAAGAAGAAACTTAAAGGCAAGAACACTTATATAAACAATTCGAATTACATAAGGAGAGAGAAGTTGGGTTTACCTCTTTTCAATAGAGCTGGAGGAAGAAGCTGAAATTGACGGCCATTGGAAAACTTTTGAACCTATTCTTGTGGGTGGGGCGGAAGTATAAGATGTAGGGTTGTTGTAATGTCAAATACATTTTACGATATGTAATCAGAAATACATACCTTTTTGAATGTAAAGCTTATTACACATATAAAAGTAATGAATTTCACATATGCAATACTCATTACATTACAGTTTAAAATAAAATGACATGCCAAACATTGAATTCGAATCAACACGTAATGTTCATTACATTACATGATTGATTACGTTGTACCAAACATGGCCTAAAGAAAATCTTATGGAGGGATGGTGGTGCGGGAAAACCAAATAGCAAATACTTTTAGCTCATTGTAGATAGAGCGCGAGCTGATTTCACCCTCAATGGTTTGTCTTCCTCTTAGGAGTATCGTTTTGCGATTGGTGGTGCTCGTCCATTCGAATATCTCAATATAGCTTCTATTTTTTGGCTTGAGAATATGATGAGATAAATCAAAATGGCTCACTAAGCTGTCTGCGCTTCTGTGTTATGAAGCAACAGTCGGTCTTATGCAATTTTGGACGCGATTTTCATCATTGGTCATCCGGAAATAGTATCTTATTGATTTAGTACAGGGGTAAGATGTTACGGATGCATTTTTATGGAACCAGCGGGAAGTTTAATTAGAAGAGTTTTATTAGAAGAGGGAATTATCCAGATTCTATTTTTATATTTTATTTATTACTTCCTAGTTCCTATTAGGAATAGAAGTATTAGAGGTTACAATTTCTGTTAGATTAGAACTCCTATTAGGAATAGAATTATTAGATGTTATAGTTTCTGCTAGATTAGAACTCTATCATGTAAAGACATGATGCCTATTTATACTCTTTATTCAACATTAATAAAACCATCGATCATTAGAAATATTTCCAGAGAAAGTCACGTACTTTCCCCTGCGCTCTTCCAGCCACGGGCAAGAAGAGGAGTAACCCTAGCCGGCAGGTTCTGCCCTCACCCACGCACCCTGCCACAACAATACGACCTTGGACCCGTTCTCAATTCCAGAACCCTGACATAAGATTGCGTACATCCCATCCCCTACCGTAGGTGGAAGACTTTGCGACACTGGGATAATGATGATGATGAATATAGCTTCTTTCCTTTAAAAAAGGTATAACTCCTGTTGTGCATTTTACTCCAAAAAAACAAAAAAAAAACTAAAAGCTGTAGTTATAAACATGTGATATTTACATATTGACATTGTTTCGAAGTTTTTTCGGTAAGTTTTTGTGTGGAATTTGTTAATAGAATCAACATTATATATGTATATATTTGATTGAACTTGCACTCTTACCTATTGATCAGATTTACAAGTGGACGTCATTAATTCTACAATGTTGTCTTTAGATATTTTGGTCAATAAAGGTTGCCTCTTTAAAATTTGGGAGATAATTTCTATAAGAGTTGTAGTCCTTCAGTTTAACTTTCCAGTGGCATAAAAAAGGCTGAGATTAATAACTTCATACTTAAATATGATCAAATATAGCGGTTCTTTTGTTCGGGACCAACAAAGTTTCTCTTATATATTTGGTCAAATAAGTACGCATCCTTTAAAGTTTGGACTGAAAAAGGGTTTAAAAATGCAATAGAAAAAATATATATGTACCAAAACATATAGGACCAAAGAAAATACATATATATGGAAAAAATATATATGTACCAAAACATATAGGACCAAATAAGTACTCACCACCATCCCTATAAAGAAAAAATATATCATCATCATTACTACCCCATTGCTGCAAAGGCTCCCACCTACGGTGGGGTAAGGGGGGTCGGATGTACGCAGTCTTACTCCTGTACTAAAGCACAAAGAGACCGTTTCCGAATGACTCATAGTGAAAATCGCGTCGAAAAATACACGGACTGACCGTTGCTTCACAATAAAGAAGCGCAAACAGTTTAATGAGCCATTTTTCTTTATTCCATCATTTTCTCAAGCCAAAAAATAGTGAATCTTTGGCTCCATTGCAAATGATGGAAAACTATATACAGGACCAAAAATACAAATCCTTTAAAGTTTGGTGAAAAAGTTTGGTCAATATAGGACCAAGACTTGCACAAAGTTAAAAAATAAGATTAAGTGTGTTTTATTCCCCAAATAGGACTTATGTAGTCCTAATAAAAGTATAAGTTGATTAAAACTTCCCAAATTAGGAGTGAATGAGTCATATTTTGTGAATAAAACAATGATAGTCCTATTTATGAACTTTAACATTGTTTTAGTCCTATTTAAGGAATTTTCTGTAAATGCAAATATCTATAATTAGATATGATCAGATGTGCTACTAGATGTCATTTTGACTCTAAAATTTTGGAATAATATAATATCAAGAACATTGCTTTTATATATTTGGTCAAATAAGTACGCAGTGTACACATCCTTTAAAGTTTGAGCATTGTAGTCTCTAAACTTTTTAGAAATCTGAATTTTTCTTTCTATGGACATAAAAAAGGATTAAATGCATATATGTATTTTTAGATATGATCAGATATGCTACTAGATGTCATTATAAGTCTAAAACACTGTTTTTAGATATTCTGATAAAATAAAGATGACTCTAAAATTTATGAATGATACCCTATGAAAAAAGGGTTTATATGCATATATCTATACTTAGATATGATCACATATGCTGCTAGATGTCATTTTAAGTCTAAAACGTTGCTTTTACATATTTTGATAAAATAAAGATGACTCTAAAATTTATGATAGATGCTAATTCAATCCCCCCCCCCCCCCCCCCCCCCCCCCCCCCCCGTTTTCTATTACCCCGGGGGGTTGGGGGCAGGGGAACCCGAGGTAAAGGGGTTTGAAACTGTCTCCATGGAGTTTCTAACACAGGACCTCCCATATGGGAGAATGAGTCAGTGGCCAGTGAGCTGGACCGCTTTCTCTGATACCAATTCGATCATATGCAAGTATAGGAATGTCCATTTGACCTTTTTTTTGTGTCGCTGGAAAGATCATTCAAGTTCTACAACTTTTAGAGAGACCACAATTTTTGAATCTTTAATGGATGTGTACTTATTTGACCGAAATATAAAAATTGAACACGCTGTTTTTGCCTTTTCTCTTTTCTTACTGTGCATCATATTATTGAGTTTTTTTAATTGCTGAGGGATCAAAGATAAATACTTTTGTAATACACAATTTTGTTCTTTGAATGTAGGAGCGACGTGGAGTAACAATTAAAGATGCCACTTTATGACTGCATGCTTTTGTTGAAACCCCATATAAAGAAGGAGGCGTTGATGGAACTGGCTATTAAGGTGGGGAAGCATGTCTATGGTAGAAATGGAGTCCTCACAGATGTAAAGTATTTTGGAACTGTCCAGCTCGGCTATGGTATTAAAAAGCTTGATGGGAGGTATTTTCAGGTCTGCTTTATTAACACAAAAATATAGGAGTTTTTTTTTTCTTGCATTTAGTTGGGATTGATTATGTAAGAAACTAATGAATTAAAGCTGGATAGCTTGTTGGTTCGTTAAATCATGTAGGGGCATATGATGCAAATGACGATGATGACACCGCCTAATTTCAACAACGAGTTGCATTACCTGAACAAGGAAGACCGTTTACTTCGGTGGCTGTTGGTTAAGAACCGGGGGGATCTTCAGCTTGATTCTTTGGATCGTTATGAACCTTCACGTACCGAGGTTTACCAAGATTTTAAGGGTGATGAGAAAGAAGACAGTGATGATGAAGATACTGATGACACAGACGACAAATACAATAAAGGCTCCCTTTTCTAAGTATTTAATAAAAAAACTGAGACTCCCCTTTTATTGTTTCATGGATTCAGGTTGAATCTCTGACCCTTTTGGCTATTTATGTCGTGAAATATGAAATGGATTCTATTCCCATGTTAGAACTTTGAACCAAGAAAACTATCCGGGTTTATCTGATGTACAACATATGCTTTGATAATGTATGATGGTACCCCTCCCTCCCCTAAAAAATGTTGTCAATTAAAATTCAGTGTGATCCCTAAAATTTTTCAATACTAATTATGGATCTAGGCATTTGGCCTGATTGATAATATTCTTTCTATACGTGATAGATTGATACAGTTTCGATGAACACCATATTGTTTTTTTTATGGATTACAACTTGTAAGTTTTATAAAAAATATTCTAGAAAAGAGGGTTAAAATCAAGGACGTCTAACATTTTTCGATCCTTTAGTATGCAACTAATTTTGCTGAATTAGTGAAGATGATTAATGAATACGGAATACCTGCTTTGGTTGAACAATATATTGAAATCTGCCACGGTAGGACACTATTTTGATAGTCTATATCCCTTTCATTATTGCCAATCATTCTGCATTTAATGATGGAGATAATAAATGATACTTATTCTGTCTCATATGACATGTTTATTATGAAACTGAAATGTTGTGGTTTGAGCTGAGATACTGTACACTTTTTTCTTGACATGTTTGTTTGTTTGCTTTGATATTGCGAGTATCTCGTTATTAGTCTCCCTCATCTCTAACGTTTTCCCCCACGGCATAGTTCGAGTGGAATGCCAGAGAGATCTGAAGTCAATCTTAGCCACCTAGGTTATAAAGGATTTAAATTTAATCTGTAATTTACAATAATTTTAAGTTAAAATATATTGATTTATATTTTTCCCTGACCTAGAGTGGGATGGAGAGGACCACCTTTTTAGTGGTGAGGTAAACCAGTTTCTTGTTTACCCCGTTATAGATAAGGCCTTTCTCTTTTGTGGTCCTTGATGCCCTTGGAGATATCACACTACCTTAAAAAGCCAACTCCAAAGAGTCCTCATCTGACAAGCAATACCCTTTTGTCACAAAGTTTACAAGAAAAACATGATTCCCATGTTGTACTCTACAACTCAGTATCCAAAAGTAAATATCCAAATAAGGTTCACTTTCTTTTCAGTTCATCAATCACCATCCAAGTAACAAATACTGTAATACCAGCAGTGTTGGTATATAATTTGATTAATTGCTGTTCAAGAAACAACACCTTACAATTCAAATTATTAACTATAACATCCCACAATACCTACTTCCTCCCATATTAAATACAACAGCAATCACACTATACAATCCTCACCAATATAATGTCTAAAAGGCTAAAAAACTATCCATATGAACTATAGTGCTTGTTCTTCTGCAAAGTATAAATGTTTTTATCTTTACAGTATTATGAAGAATCTCTTACTTCCTTGCTGAGCATTTGTTGGTAACCGCAAGCTATAAAGTCTGGCAACAATGGTGTGGCAAACCTCTTCCGGTTCTCAATGTTGTTGTAACTCATTGGGACATTCATACTGCCAAACTGATCGTTGGCTTCTCCCAATTCTACCCCTCTATCCATATGCATTTCTTGAGTTGGGATGAACCCGTGGTGTGCCCCTGACATTGAGAGGTTTTCACTATGCGGCAGACCAAGTGTTAGGGAGACCGCATTGCCCGAATATGATCCGATTTCTCCAATTGGGTATGACCCGAACCCGCCAATGAAGTTAGCTGACCCCCCTCCTCCACCACCCATTAATGTAAAATCCACGGAGGAAGAGTCCGGGCCTTGTGCTCTCCTGGCCTTCTTCGGGCTTTCCGGGCTGAAACTGGATTGGTTTCTGTCTGCGGGAGAAGATATAGTAGAGAGTTGTTTGTTTGGGGTAAAATTGCTCTTTTCTTGATGATCCGAACACTCTGAAGAATCTTCGTTTGGCTCACTAGCTTTCCCTGTTTGGTTGTCTGATGCATTTTGGCTTTGTTCTTGTTCCTTGGTCTCTTCCAGATACATCTCTTCTACCATTGGCTTCCACAATCGGACCCGAGCATTGATGAACCAATTTGACACCTGAATTCACACCAAAACCCACCCTCATTCAACATGAACATTCTTTATAATAATAATTAAAAGTTGTTTGAACAGTTTTAAAAACTAACTACAGTAGGTCTGGCTTAGCAAAAGTTTTAATTACCTGATTCCTGGTAAGACCTGTTTGTTTAGCCAGCATGATTTTGTCTGAATCTTTTGGGTAACTGCACAGACAAATGGAGAGAACATGCACCATTAGATTACCATAACAATATTATAAAATTGACGGGCTACTCATCTTAAGAAAGTGTAAACCCTTGGGATTTAACTATGAGAGTATTTCAGTCCATTTGATAGCTAAAAGTGACATCTTTTTTTATTTATTTATTCTCCTATGAGCTGAATAAACAAAAAAGTCTAAATAAGTTCCTTTTTGATGTACTAATTTTGCTTAAACGAATTTTTCCAAATGTTAACTCTTTGAAAGTATTGAGCAAACTCGGTGATTTCGGTGAATTGATTGGAACCAACAGGCCCTCAACGGTGTGTCGAAGTTGCATAACGTTGGGCTATATAATGGATGGGGAGCAGTACACTTGATTATTATAAAGTAAATTCTGGTTGCTATTTTTATTAGAGTGAAGTTTATTTACTTGTAAAATGACAGAAAAGAAAATAGTGACCTCTACATCTGGACGGGTAGTAATAGAGATCAGCAGGCACAAGTATGGTATTGGATAACCATTCAGATGCTCTTTTTAATGTTTGGATGGTTTATTTCCGATCATTAATTTCCCTTTCAACTTATATATAACCTACGTCAAATATTAGAAATTTAAATACATTTTACTGGTGGTAATTTTACTGGTAGTAACATAATAAGTTGAAGTACTAAACCATTGGAGCACTCTCAAAATTGAAGTACTAAATCATTGCCACATATCCAGTGCGCTAAAAAACTATATGACTCCAAGTTGCCCATTTAACCCTATTCACATTTTTTGAATATCATTAGATTGATTGTATTACTACGTATTTTATCGGAACAATTTGACTTTCACGTGTGTTAGGAGGTCACTCAAAATTTGGACTAATGAATCAAGATCAAATCTATAGTCATTAAATCTTCCAAAAAGTGGAATCCCCAACCAACCTCAAAGGCCTCCCACGCCTCGACCCGACAAAGCATTTGGGAGGTGACTGAGTCAGTCCAATGGTGGTTGACTTTGTACCCGTGCACATCAGAAGTCCACTCTAACACATAGCCGTAACCTCCACATGATTGAGCTATTCAAACTTAGTGAGACGTAAAAAAAAGAAGAGGGGAAAACTTACGGGTGGAGGAAATGCTCAAAGAGCCAAGCACGAAGAACAGAAACAGAGCGTTCCGGCAATCCTCGCTGGGGCCGCCAAGCTGCGCCGTTGCTGTTGTGTTGGATCATTCCCAACTGCTGCAAGGCCCTCTGTCGCCTGAGCTGCCTATCCACAAACTTCAGCCTGCTGCTTGATGGGGACGACGACGGTGATGAACCACCACCACAAACCTCAAATTCTCCTAAACTCTTCCCGGCAGCTCGTATTTGCCCCAAGATCGCGTCTTTAAGGCACCTGAACTGCTTTGAGATGGTCTGCAACGCCAGGGCTGTGTACGTTCTACAAGAACCCGCCCCTGCCGCCTGCTCAAACCATGATATCACCACCTGCATCTGCTCGTGGTATTGTCTGTACCTCTGTTCCACCTGACCATCCATTCCAGATTGCTTTATACTCCATTTTTATTCTCATCTAAACAATAATTAATTATATTTGCAACAAGTCAAAACCATAAAAAACAGCATTTTTGCTTTTGACATATGCTCCGTATATATATATGCATTGGCAAGAGTGATGGCCGAAAGGTGCCCACGTAAAAATTGATAGTCAGATGATGTTCTTTACAGCTTTTGAAAAGAACACTTTGAATTGGACAGGGCAGCAAGGAAGGCAGCAGCTGATCGATCATGATATATACATATGATGATGATGTAGACTTTTAAATACAGTAATTACTTAATTTCTTTCCAATCTTCTTGGGGTCCTTGGTTACGCAGAACGAACTCTGTCTGTCTGTGGGTGTGTTTAATCTATCCTTTGTCAGAACAGAACCCGTCTCTTCAAGAAGCTAAAAAATCCTCGATCAAAATATTAATTTAATCGCATAGGCTTGAAGAAAAAGATGATGAAGCTCTATCAGTTTTGTTTTTCAATTGAGTCCAACAATTAATTAACATCCTATGGAAATTAAACAACTCCCGGGAGATTAACTTAAGTACCTCATCGAGCATGTTCACAAGCTTTGCTTTCTTCATTTGAATTTCCTGTCTCTCTGCTGTGGAGAGCTCCGCGGCGGCGCGTTTACCCCCACTCTGCTCTCCGTCTGAGCTGGTGAGTCCGTCATTCTTGGGCAGCACCTCATTATTTGTCCCTTCACTCTTCACTCCCTTTCCTACATTGACCACCTCGTCGAGAAGCTCTTGAGCCGCCTTCAAGAATTTCGAACTCAACAGCACGTTTTGCAGCCCCCCGTTGGATACCCCTGAAGCAGCCGACGGAGACCCCCCGCCAACTGCCGACACATACTGCTCGTTCCCCACCTCCAGGCCCGCCCCGAAATTGCCAAACCCGGGTTGTTGAGAGGAGAGGCTCAGGGAAAGCCCGTGCTGGGTGCGCGTTACCTCACGCGCCGCAGTAAGGTCGACCGGCGAGCCGTACAGGTTATACTGCGGCCTCCCGATGAACCCCTGGAGGGCGGAGAAGTCGTGCGCCGTGGAAACGTGGACCTCCGGTTGCGAAAAAGGGATGCCGACATACTGAGATGGCGGCGCGTGGGACGAAAATTCCATTGAGCTCCCAGGGCCGACGTTCGAGTTGAGGAAGATGATGTTGTTCCCCGGCGCCTGGTGCTGTGCCGGCTGAGAGGCGTTAGGGAACCCAACATAACCGCCGCTGCCGCCGGCAGGGTTCATGAGTAGAAGTGTTTGTAAGCCATCACCGCCACTACCAGCTTGGATTTCAGAATTCCCATGAAAGTACGTACCCATCTACCCCTGCCTTTCTCTTTCACCAATTGATCAACTAAAACGTCTGTATTATTCAAAACTGATGAAATACGAAAAACAAGACACTGATGAAGTTAGTTTTTTTATACGGAGTAGTATATACGGAGTAATATATACCGAGTATGTATAATATAGAATATGATTCCAATAAAAATAGTGTTCGGATGTAAATTGCGATAAAATGCGAATGATTGTACTTAATTATCAAAATAGAACTAAAAGTCATTCACTTTGCACATTATTAGACTACAAATAGAACTAATTACGTGTGTCTTGGACAAATATACCCTTATAGCTATTGAAATGTTTTAATTTATAATAAAATATTAAAAAATAATAAAAAATTCGTAAAAAATACTAAAAAATTAATAAAAATATTTCGATAATAATTTATTTATTTATTTATTTTCAAAAATAATAATAATAATAATAAACTCAAAAAAATAAAATAAAATTCACCGCCGCCTCTGCCGCCTCTGCACCACCACCTCCAGTCACCAGGGGAAAAATGTCAAGTTAATTACGAATGCCATATTTATGCCAGAAAGCAATGAAAATGTTAACATTCTCAAAGAGAAATATGCTATGTTTTTGGCATTTTCAGAAAAAAATGAGAGTTTTTAAGGAAAATGACGTTTTTTTCACCGTCCGGAGATGGTGGTGCAAGGAGGTAGTACATGCGGTGGGAAAGGCATCCATATTGTTTTTAAATTTTTTATGGAGTTTTACTATTTTTTATTAATTTTTATATTTTCTTTTTTATTTTTTATTTTATAAATATTTTATAAATTTTTTATTTATTTTTCTACGAATTTTTGAATCATTTTCGAATTTATTATGAATTAAACATTTAATTAACTCATATTTAAAGGGAGGGTAAGAATGGAAGGAAAAAATAGGTATGTTTCTAATAGGACTAATTTGGTCCTATTTTGAAAAGAAAAACATAGTAAGTCCTATTTTGAGTTTTTGTCATAGTTTTAGTCCTATTTGGAGTAATTTCTATTATATTTTTGCATGGTATATCTTTTGGCTTCAAATGCACGCTTAGAAATGAGGAAAAGTTTTAAAATTACCCACATTTTTATCAATCATAATGCATTGTTGACTTATTTTGAGTCATTTGATCATAAATTGAATGCACCGGATTTATTCTTACTTTTCATGTATATTGTTCAATCGGAAACTCAGAAAGTCAATTAATTAAATTATTGGAAAAATTGCACAAGAATATATAATTTTTCAACAATTTATTTAACTGAATTTTTTATTGAACTTGTAGCTGAAATTTGGTGGATACAATCTACACTTCATGATGATATACTTACAAAATTTTGTCAAAAATTCAATTTGAAATCACCTCAAATGAGGTGGCTGGATGGCGGTCCTGTCTTGAAACTCCAGAAAAAAGGCTAGTATATTACCTTCGTCCGCAAAAGAAGTTCTTACTTTTTTTATGAATGTCCCAAAAATAAGTTCTTATTTCTATAAAAGGAAACCACTTTTAACCATAGTCACAACTACCCTTACTTGTTATCAATTTTTTGCTTGATTTGATATAAAACAAGGATATACGTAGTACTTGAGAGTCAAAACAAAACTCTATCTTACATAAATATGTGTGTAAGTCAAACCGAGAAGTTCATTTCGGAATGAAGGGAGTATATATAAACTCAAGGTTTAAAATAAGGGAATAACACAAGTAATTAAACTTCAAACCTTTTTACATTAAAATAGCGATAGTTTTAATGTATTAATATAGTGTGCGCAGTATTCATTTTCAAACTAAGAGCCCATTTGGTAGCATGAAAATCGGCTGTTTTGGCTGATTCTGCTGAAATTTATGAAGTTCTGGCTGAAGTGGCTGTTTTGGCTGATTCTGCTGATTCAATAAAAAAATATTTTAAAAATATATTTTATTAATAAATTAAAGAAAAAATTACATGTAAAAATAGATAAAATGGTCCTCTGCAGTAACTTCAGCCAATACAGCCAGAAAAGTAACTCCAACCTTACTTTTTCTGCTTATTACACAATTCAGCACACGAAAGTAAAAGTTACGTGTTTGGTGAAAAAACTGGCTGATAAGCCTGATAAGCCGAAAAAAGAGGTCTCCAAACGGTCTCTAAGACTCCCTGCAGCGAAATTGAATGAGTATTGTGGAGATATGTATTCCTATAATGGAACTATATGGAGTCATATATATTTTTAAAATAGGACTCTCCCTAATAAAAAAAGGATGACAGCCATCCCAGAGGCCCCCAACCCCTACCGGACGATACGTTGGGAGGATGTAAATTGGACTATAATTCAATCTGACAGATAGAGAGTGAGGCTCTGTCACGGATACTTGTAAAGGTCCTATGCATTTTTAGCATAGTAACTCCTCATCACAGTTGCCGAGATTCGAAACTGGGAGCTAACCCTTGTGACACTCCATTACTACTAATTTTGTCCTCTTTAATTATTACGGAGTATATACGAAGTATATATGTACATGCATAGAAGATGTGTGTGTGTGATGAGATTCAAAGCGCGGCCAGGCCACTTGGTTGGTGAAGTAAAAGAAGCATGTGGTTAAAATTTAAGGAAAAAGAAGAAGGCACTGTTTGGATATTGACTTCTTTAACTCTTATCTTATCGCTTAAGCACGGCAGAGTTTAAAACCCCACAACTAACCAATTCTTGTCATCAAAATTAATAATAACATTAATTAATACTCCATTTTTATATTGTATTCCCTCAAACCTACCCTCATCTTCTCCATCTAGCTAGCTAATTAATTAGTTTTTCTTTCTTATTACGTAGTAGTATATACCGATCCTAAATAAATTTGGGTCTGTCCAAATTAAAATTCACACTTCTTCTTTCTTTCTTATTTGACAAATTATCTACACCAAACAGTGCAAAACAGTGTCAAACAATGTCACAATAGTATAATCTAAAGTAAAGTCAAATTTATTTCCTTAATTTGTGTGAAGTCAAACGCTGAACTTTATTTAAGACCGGAGGGAGTATATCTTCTCCTTGTCATTCTTTTATGTTGTTAAATCTCCTGCTCGTGTCATGGATATCGCACGTGCTCTATCACTATCATCTTCTCCTAATCCGAAAAGAAAGGAAAAAAGAAAATAAGACAGTTAATTAACAAGAAACTATTCTTGTGTGTATATTTCTTCCGTTCTTGGAAGTGTAAAATATTGAATTTTTAATTATTCACATGTTCTATTTTGATTACATTTCATTTATTAATGCATTAATAATTTATTTTTATAAAAAAATCGTTAAATTTGCCTCACTTTAAATTTAACAAAATTTGAATTTTCTATATTTTTTAATAATAGAGATTAAATATAATAATGATCAACATTGTGCGTCAGTAAAAATAAAAAGTTGACATTTACATAAGCTAAGACAGAAAACAATGGCGACAACAAACCCATCTCCATCATTTGACAATTTCATTTCCCCGGGCCATGAGAGAGTCATCAGTACTTACCTCATCTAATTAAGGGAATGTTCGCTAAAATTAAAAAAAACAAAAAAGAGTGTTTTCAAATTACAAAAGCACTTATTTTAATTGCTTTAAACATTGAGTGTTCAGGATTGCTTCTACTTCAAAGAGGTGTTTGTTTAAAATGATTTTGGAGGAAGTGTTTAATACTCTCTTCATTCCGCAATTAACTTCCCACTTCAATTTCACACATATTAATGAAATAAATTTACAAAGAGGTAAATTTTACTATTTTGACACTCTTTCAACACTGTTTGACACTATTTGACACTGTTTTGCACCGTTTTGATGTAGATAATTTGTCAAATAAGGAAGTGGGAAGAAGTGTGAAGTTAATTTCGTGAGTGCCCGAAAAGGAAAGTGAGAAGATAATTTCGAGACAGAGGTAGTAGTAAAAGTTGGTAGTGTTTGAGAAAAAAGTGATTCTGAAAAAGTAAAAGTTGGTAACATTTGACAAAATAAGTGTTTTTTGTGTAATAGAAAATGTGAAAAACGGTTTAAAAAACTTTTTTACCTGCTTCCGGCTTTTAGCTTTTAAGTGCTTCTAAATGCTTAATTTAATTAGCACCTTCTTTCTACATTTGAAAACACCCATTTCACTTTTTTTAAGACAAGAACTAGAAAACACTTGTTTTAATTTTTAACAAATACTCCAATCCATCGATTTCTCTCACCACCAAAGTCTAGCTTTGATAAATTTCTGTTGTTGAAGAAGAAACGGCCGGAAAGATGAGAAGACATAAAATAGTGATGGATGGTGAGAACGGGCTTAAAAGATACTCTTTAAAAGAAAAAGATACTATACCATCTTTATATACGTGTCCAATCATTGTTCATAAAGAGAAAAAACAAAGGTCAATTTTCAAATTGGTTACATGGGCATCAAGCGACACTCAAAATTGCAGCCAAGCTCCTACTGGGACATTGTTCATAAGGTCTAGTTTTGTTGTGGAACTTTGGAAGGTAATGTATTAATTATATGTACAACATTAAGAAAACAATC